GCCACGTTTCTGACTATGGAGCTGCCAATGATCAGAGTCGGCTTATCAGTGGGTGCGTCACTGAGCGGGGAAAATCTATTAGAAACGTGGACGGGTTGGTGGTGGCCCACGGGCTGGGTTCTATGCTTCCTGCGTATCGTCACCCAGCCGGCCTGAGGTCCCAGCTGCTCGGGTTCTGCTGGAGGGTCGCTACGGGGTGATTCTGAGCTAAATAGCCCCGCGCTAGCTAAGTAGCTATGGCTGTTTACGGGTTTTTCAACAGCGCGGAGCCGGGACTCCAATTCCGACACCCTCGCCTCCAAAGCTACAAAAATGCTACATTTATTACACGTACCATTATCACTAAAGGAGGCAGAGGAGTAACTAAACATCTGACACAGAGAGCAAGAGATAGGAGACGGAGAAGCAGAGACAAATAAATCAGCATCTGAACCATTCTAAACGTATTTTCATCAAATCTCTGAGCTACAGTGCCTCACTAGGACAAGCATCTCACAGCAGCAGCGCATAGAGAACTTATCAGGCAACTGCGCCCTCTGTTGGCACTCTCAAGTTACTACCTTACACATACATAAATGAGTTTACCACTAAGTGTTACTCAACAGCTAAATGCAGGGTGGCTGAAGGAAGACATAGCAGCAGGCATCTGTCTTACCCTTAAACCTGTTATTCTAAGACAGAGGTGTCAAACTCAATATTCACACTGGGCCGAATAAAAAAAACTGGGACGGAGTCGCGTGCGAATCTCAATATTTTTTAAAAAGTGACTGCAAATGTGCACATTTTCCTTTATCTACAGATATGAACATTTTCATTTGGAAACAAACTTATTTTTGCAGTTACGCTGAATCTGGAATAAGCAAATTACACACAAGCAAATCGATTCAATAAATAAAGCACACATCAGCTTTATTCTTTACTTATATCATTTAGAAAAATATTTGTATTCCTTGTATTTTTTAATCTTTTGAACCTTTTAAGTATTTCTATTTTATATTTTCTTGGTTATTCTTATTATTTAATCTCCTTTTTTGCTCCTGTAATGAAGGTTGTTGCTGCTGTGATATCAAGCTTTCCCCACTGAAGGCCAATAAAGGGATTTTCTGTTCTATTTCTCTATCTGTACTCTTTTCGGTTCCTGTTTTAAAGCAGGTGAAATGGTACCTCTCATAGGGACTTCGGGCATAGGTATGAATATGTAAACACCTCACTGGGCGCTGATAGCGGAACAGCGAAGCCGCCATATTGGATGGGTCTTCTCACTCTCCAAAGATCTGAGCATGTTATAATGAGTTTAACTTTATTCTTGTCCTCTTTTTACACATCGCGATGTACTTTAAGACCCTGTTGCCTGTTTGTAATGTCCCTTGTGCAGGTTGCACAAGTGTTATCTGTACCTATTGTCACGTATATCCTAATAATACTATACAACAACCGACCTACTAAACAGATTGCGTGGGGTTACTAGGGACTTTTCTAGCCAACTGATATGATTTTATATTAAATTTGATTTTTTAATGCCATACCATGTGTTGGGTAAGCGCCTTCCACAGTAGGTGAACGCCCCGGGGGCGGCCGGCCATTACTTTAATTTATTTTTTTAATAAACTTTATTAGAACAATACGTGACAATAGGTACAGATAACACTTGTGCAACCTGCACAAGGGACATCACAAACAGGCCACAGGGTCTTAAAGTACATTGCGATGTGTACAAAGAGGACAAGAATAAAGTTAAACTCATTATAACATGCTCAGATCCTTCACAAGTTGAAATGTTCTTATAGCCTTTGTGTTCTTCACGTGTTGAATTGTTTTTCGCGGCAGCTCCAGTCCACGGGGCGTTTACGTACATGTCTGTGGCTTCAGAGTGGTATTATTGTGGCTTCGTGCTTTTTTTTAATTTTTTTTAACAAACTTTATTAGTGAAATTGGGTGTCTTACATAGCAACAAAGTAAAGCACAACAATACAAGCAAACAAACAAAGGGGCCAAAGTGATAAAACAGTGTTCAAAGGATAAGAATACAGAGCACAATCAGGTATTACAAGGAATAGAGAGGGGGAAAATGTGTTACCAGTTGTACAAGTCGTATTCTTCAAGTAGGTTCCAAGTTTTTATAGCTTTTAAATTTCCTGAGTTTTTAATAGAATCAGCATATTTTTTAATTTCACAGAGGAAGACAGGTAAAAAAGGATTAACATGGGTATATTTACACTTATGAATATAATATTTAGCTAAAATAAAAATTAGGTTCAGTATGTAGATTCTATTACTCTCTTTGTCTTCAAAAATCCAAAAATAACATGTTTCAAACAGAAGGAGACATCAGGAAGAACCTTTTGCTGCAGAAGATCTAAGACATCAGACCAGAATTTAGAAGTACTTGTACAGGTCCAGGATAGGTGAGTAATTGTTTCAGGATGACTGTTACAGAAAGAACAGCAGGTGTCAATGTCCTTTTTAAATCTTTGGGAAATAAAATGTTTAACAGGGTAACAGTTATGTAATATTTTAAAAGAAACCTCTCTAATTTCATTAGTTAAAATATATCTGTGGGGTAAAAGCCAAGTTTTATTCCATGGAATATTATTTACAGTAGAGTTCCAAAATGAAATAATATAGGGAGAGGAGATGGAAAGCTGTTGAAAAAGACCTCTGGTAGATTTATTGCATGATTTCTTTGGAGAAAAGCAAATTTTACCAACGTATGTTTGAGCGAGGTCAGTATAAGTCACCAAACCATCCAAAAAAGAGGATCCTGTTAGCAGCATTTTGATACCAGACGGTTTTGCATTCATCACAATCGTGAACTCCCTAGGAGAAACCACTACAGGATACTTTTCTGTAAATTCAGAGAAAGTGGAACATTGACCATGAGGTTTTACTAATTGGTTGACAAGAATAACATTATTATCAAACCAGTTTTCAATAAACAGACTTTTTTTTTGTGAGTGATAAAAAAAAACAAGTATGTGGTGAGAAATTATGCTTAAAAATGAGGGACCATGCCAACAACATCTGCTTGTGAAAGTTTGACAGCTTCATGGGGATTTTAGGAATATTATAATAAATCAAAAGAAATTTTAGACCACCTAGTTTAGAGAAAATGAAAGAGGGGATGATGCTCCATCTAGAGGATTAAGTAAAAAAAATCTGATCCAGTAAATTTTCAGAGTATTTTTGAGAGTTGAGAAGTCTATAAAATTTAAACCTCCATGATTTGCTGAATTGATTAAAACAGATTTTTTAATATAATGAACTTTCCTTTCCATACAAAGTCCAATAGTATTCTATCAATATTCTTTAGAGTGTTATTGTCCACATACAGAGATTGAGCAGTATCTGAAAGCCTGGAGAGACCTTCAGCTTTAGAGAGAAGGATTCTGCCTTTCAATGACAAATCTCTTTGAAGCCAAAAGTTTAATTTTCTTTGAGTTTTCTGGACATTGGAGGAAAGATTAGTTGGGTATCTTAAGGTGGGGTCTTTAGATATAATAATGCCAAGATGTGTTACCTGATTTTTAACTTGAATATCACAAACAGCGGCAGCTGTGGATTCTTTAATGGATAATAACTCACACTTGTTTAGGTTAAGATGGAGGCCTGAGGCTTTAGAGAAAGAACTAATCAAGTTTAGAGCGAGTGGTACTTGAGAAGCATCTTTCAAAAACAAGGTGGTATCATCAGCCAGCTGACTAATAACAAGATGTTTACCAACAATTTCAACCCCCCTCAAGGGACTCTGTGAGATGTGAGTGGCAAGAAACTGAACGACAATCAGAAATAAATAAGGGGAAATCGGGCATCCCTGTCTGATACCTCTGGATAATAAAAATCTTTGTGAGGTGCCAAATTTAAGTTTGATGGAGCTGTTATTGTTATTTTACAGAGTTTTAACTGTACTACAGAAGTATGGGCCAAACCCACACTTTTCTAGAGATTTGTAGATAAAATTATGCTCCACCGAGTCAAAGGCCTTTTGAAAGTCGACAAACATAATGAAGCTATCTGTGTCGATGAGGTCGCTGTAGTCGAGAAGGTCCAGGACTAATCTTATATTGTTTACAATATGTCGATTTTTCATAAAGCCAGATTGTGATTCATCTATGATTGAAGGTAAAATACCTTTTAATCTGCTGGCAAAAAGCAAAGCTAAAATTTTATAATCAATATTCAGTAGAGTTATAGGACGCCAGTTATCAAGAGATAGAAGATCCTTTTTAGGTTTCGGAATTAAAGAAATAATGCCTTGAGTCATTGAGGCGGGGAGAGATTGTAAAGCAATACTTTCTTTAAACACTTAAAGGAGATAACTGCTCAGAGAACATTTTAAAAAAATCTGCTGTTAGGCCATCATTTCCTGGAGACTTATTATTTTTCAATTGAGATATATTTAGAGAAATTTCTTTATAAGTGAAAGGGGCATCACATAAATCTCTTTGATCATTATTTAAAGATTTCCAGTGACCAATAGAGTCCAAAAAAAGAAGAGGCAGAGTAATCACAGTAAGAAGTTTTATAGATATTTCCATAAAATTTTGAGCAGTATTCTGAAATACTTCGTGGATCATCTGTTATCTCATTTCCAATCCTTGGTTGTTCAATCTGATATTTAAAATGAGATTTCTCCAGGTTAAAAAAGCAGGAAGAATTTTGTTCCCCCTCCTCAATCCACTTGCTACGAGACCTTACAAAAGCCCCCTGAGCCTTTAATTTATAAATGTCATCTAATTTATCTTGAAGTTTATGAAATTCACATCTTTCTGTGTCTGAGAAAACTGTTTGTTGTAACAAAGAAGAAAGTTTAGCTAGCTTTTGCCAGGTTACTGCCAAGTTGCCTGAAATATTTACCTATTTCAAATTTACATAATTCCCAATTACAACTAAATTTATTTTCGGTTAACGCTTTAGTCCAAAACTTTTTAATTAAGACAGAGATAACTTGTGGCTTCGTGCTGTTGAGTGATCAGGTTGCATATTGCGCATGCGCTTTCCATACACGTCGATGCTACTGACGCATCTCCCGAGTGTTGCGCTTTTCTGCCACCTATCGGTGGGTGGCTGTACATGATTTGGCGCTAGCTTTAGCCCAGCCTCACTCATCATTTATCGGTTTTAGCGGAATAATGAACCGGCAGAATAAAACCCCGTTCATCCACCGTGCGATGGCCCTAACACCGTTTCCTGTAAACACCCAGATGCCACCCCAAAGGTCAGGAAATCCTGTGCAGTTTCCTTTGCTGCTTAGAAAAATACCACCTATAACGTTGGCCTCGTAGTTTTCTGACACTTGTATTTGGTTTTCTGATGTTTATTGTAAGACTTCTCCGTAAACGCCCCACAGAGTCCTGGTTGATTATTGTTGTTTCACCTGTGTGTTGCGGTCCTAAAGCTATTAGCAGAAGCAGTTAGCTAGCTAGCTAGCATGGCGTGGTTTGTGAAAGCCCTCTCTCTGTGTTTACTCCTGCTTTGCTGTTTGTTTGTGTCGTCGCAGAGTCCCCCAGGCCTTCATAGAAGCCATGAAACGCATTTCATCATCTGACACAAACCCCGGAATCCTCCCGAAGCCGGATAAAGGTGCAGGCTCAGCCGTTACCTTGTAGCCTCACCTGTGCAGTTCTTAGTCCTCTGTAGTGCTTGCAGTGCACCAGTAGCTGGCTTCGGTCACCACAGCAATACCAGATGATGTGTTTTGTGTCAAATGATCCAGTCTACACATATCCCCCCCTACAGAACAACGTTCAGATACGAAATGGAAATCTTCCTTCCAGCCAATTAACCAACAGGACGGAGACAACCAGGAGGAAGGTCCCAGCAGCGCGGAGAGGTGAGGTGGACGGTCTCATCCCACCCTTTTACCACACCAGTCTGCTTAGAAAGCACTCTCAACACAGCATCGTTTATTTATTTATTTATTGTTTATCCCGTTAAGATTACAAACCTTGTTTTCAAGGGAGTCCTGGCCAAGAGGCAGCAAAAGTTACAGTTACACACATTTCAGTTACACAGTTAAGTTAAAAATCACAGAAGGCAGTCACAACACAGGGAACCGTCTCAAGGGCTCTCAGTCTGGCTTTGAATGTACTCAAGGAGATAAACCGGGCTAATTTCCAGTTTTCCTGTAGCCTGTTCCGTGCAGAAGGAGCAGAGTGAACGAAAGTCTAGTTTGGTTCCAGCAAACGGACCACAAGTTACACCTCTCCGTTAGATTAAGTTACGGATGTAGGTGGGTAGTAATCCAAGCACGGCCTCATAAATGAAGGTGCACCAATGTCCCAACCTCCTGGTGGACAAAGATGTCCGTCCCACAACTCACCATGATGGGTCAGTGGTCTACAGTTAGTGATAAACCTCAGCGAGGCACGAGGAACCATCAGTCTTACCGAGACGCTGTGCTGAGGCATTCATGCACAAAAGGTCTCCATAATCCACAATATGCAGAAATGTTGCCGTAACTAGTCGGTTTTTGTCTCAAAAGAAAAAGTTTATTTAGAAAAAGAAACCCAGTCTGAGACTTTCTATATGGGACTTGAAGGAGCGCGAGTCATGGAGCCAGACACCAACTGAGTTGTTTACGACACATTTTGAAGAAGAAGAAGAAAATATCATTTCTATAGCGCCTCCCAAGATAAAAACAACGAGGCGCTTCACAAAAGCAAAAAATGTAAAAATATAAAACAGAATTTAGAAAATGGTTAAAAATATATTTTAAATGAGCAAAAACAGACAATTGTGATTAAAAACATGTTAAGAAAGAGAGAGAGTGAACAGGAAAGAGGGAAAACGCCAAAGATGCCTCAGCCTGGCCTGCCAGACTCCTCGTCTGTCTAGTTCTGCACAGAGAGTCCGGGAACTCTCCTGTTCAAATAACCCCGCCCCTGAGAATTCTAACGAGCCAATCAGCGCTGAGCAGCGGACGTCACACACCACAACGCCGAGCTTGTCATAAACATGGCGACTGAAGCGGAGTTCGCTGCGGCTCTTTCCTCTGCTCTAAATGACTTGGATGTTTTTAAAACCACAAGTAGAAACGCTAAAAGCCCTTCTGCTGAAAACATAGAAGATGTTTGCGCCATTTTTTACTACAGCTAAAAAACTACAGCGCTGCGCGGTACAGTCGGCATTTCCATCTTTTTTCTGATTGGCTAGTTTTGAGCTGGCTAGTCCCGCCCCTCAGGTGCCTCTCCGCCTGTGAGTTACCAGACTCTCTGTGCAGAATTACACAGGGCGAGTGTGGCTGGCCAGGCTAGAGAAGCCGGCCTCACCTGGAGGGGGACGCGAGTTCCAGAGCTTCAGACCACTGAATGCCGTCTCTCCTCTAGCCTTGTAGCGCGCCCCGGGGACAACCAGAAGCAGCTCAGCGGCGGATCTAAGAGCACGCGAGGGCTGATGAGGGTGAAGAAGCTCAGCCAGATGTGTTGGGGCGGAACCATTCCGAGATGAGATGCTGCCTTTCTTCTGTTAGCGTTGTGGGACATCCCAGTGCTTGTTGCCTGAGACGCGCCGTGTGACTGATGAAACATTTTATTAAAGTCCTAGCACACACAAGTCAGAAGCTGTTTCATGTATGAAGCAGGCAGCGAGTGTTCTCTGCGCACGTTTCCTTCCAGGTGATCTTCGGGTTTGTAATCAACAGTCTTGCATCCTTCTCTACTCGCAGGGTCGAGCTGTACGATCCTAGCAACCCTCTGTCTTCAGACTCTGAGCCAGAGAAATCACCAGATCAAGAACGTGCATGCTCTCCAACGAACGACGAGAACAGCGTGGAACACCAGCGCCTGTCTCCAGACAGACTACACCTTCACAGCAGCTACTGGCACTCAGCCTTCCACGAGTCGGTGGACCCACCTCTGGACAGACAGAAGTTGTTCACCACACCCACAGAGAGCACCACTGAGAAGCACCCTCACAATCTGGAAACTGAAATGCACGATCGTCCCGGTTACGGCTTCCAAAGCAGATCCCTGGAACAAAGAGGCAGCAGTCCCAACCGGCTTGTTCACGGCTCCTCCACTCCAGGGTTTCCTGAGTCTCATAGCCGACGAAGGGCTAATGAGGAGGAGGAGAGAATAACTTGGCCTGAATACACGAGAGAGGTACCACAGAGAACCATCTAACAGCATTAGAACTAAAATCTGAGGAATTGGCTTACATGAAGTCCCCGTTCTGTCCTTACAGATGACCCCCACAGTCCGCTCATCCCCACCCAGGTTAAAACGAGACCATCAACAGCTGGGCTGTCTGGAAAAGGGTGAACTGATGATTCAGGGTTTAGCTGTTGGCTTTTCCATAAGAAAAAGGAGAGCAGATATTTTGGGAATGCCGTTGTGGAAGTCATCTATCATGTGCCTCCAACCGCTGCAGCCCGGTTAGATACCATCTCAAGTAAACGTCTATAAAATGTTGTTCCACAGGACTCGACCCAGAAGCTCCTCCCCCAAAGGCGACAAAGCATGAAGGAGTCGACGTCATAATGGACCAGTAAGCAACAAACAACTACCCAAAACAACAACAAAGCACTAAGTGTTCCAGAGCAATTTGAGATTACCTCTGTAATGTAAAGTGTATTATCAATACTATTTATTATTATTTATTATTATTATTATCCGTACAGGGAGGAGGAAGGGATTCAGATTAGTACTGGTGCTGGTACTAGTGCTAGTGCTGGTACTGGTATTAGTACTGATGCTGGTACTAGTGCTGGTACTGGTATTAGTACTGATGCTGGTACTAGTGCTAGTACTGGTATTAGTACTGGTGCTGGTACTAGTGCTAGTACTGGTATTAGTACTGGTGCTGGTACTAGTGCTAGTGCTGGTACTGGTATTAGTACTGATGCTGGTACTAGTGCTGGTACTAGTGCTAGTACTGATGCTGGTACTAGTGCTGGTACTAGTGCTAGTACTGGTATTAGTACTGATGCTGGTACTAGTGCTAGTACTGGTATTAGTACTGGTGCTGGTACTAGTGCTGGTACTGGTATTAGTACTGATGCTGGTACTAGTGCTGGTACTGGTATTAGTACTGATGCTGGTACTAGTGCTAGTACTGGTATTAGTACTGATGCTGGTACTAGTGCTGGTACTGGTATTAGTACTGATGCTGGTACTAGTGCTGGTACTAGTGCTAGTACTGGTATTAGTACTGATGCTGGTACTAGTGCTAGTACTGGTATTAGTACTGGTGCTGGTACTAGTGCTGGTACTGGTATTAGTACTGATGCTGGTACTAGTGCTGGTACTGGTATTAGTACTGATGCTGGTACTAGTGCTAGTACTGGTATTAGTACTGATGCTGGTACTAGTGCTGGTACTGGTATTAGTACTGGTGCTGGTACTAGTGCTAGTACTGGTATTAGTACTGATGCTGGTACTAGTGCTAGTACTGGTATTAGTACTGGTGCTGGTACTAGTGCTGGTACTGGTATTAGTACTGATGCTGGTACTAGTGCTAGTACTGGTATTAGTACTGGTGCTGGAACTAGTGATAGTACTGGTATTAGTACTGATGCTGGTACTAGTGCTAGTACTGGTATTAGTACTGGTGCTGGAACTAGTGCTAGTACTGGTATTAGTACTGATGCTGGTACTAGTGCTAGTACTGGTATTAGTACTGGTGCTGGAACTAGTGCTAGTACTGGTATTAGTACTGATGCTGGTACTAGTGCTAGTACTGGTATTAGTACTGGTGCTGGAACTAGTGCTAGTACTGGTATTAGTACTGATGCTGGTACTAGTGCTAGTACTGGTATTAGTACTGATGCTGGTACTAGTGCTAGTACTGGTATTAGTACTGATGCTGGTACTAGTGCTAGTACTGGTACTAGTACTGATGCTGGTACTGGTGCTAGTGCTGGTGCTGGTACTAGTATTAGTACTGATGCTGGTACTAGTGCTAGTACTGGTATTAGTACTGATGCTGGTACTAGTGCTGGTACTAGTATTAGTACTGATGCTGGTACTAGTGCTTGTACTGGTATTAGTACTGATGCTGGTACTAGTGCTAGTACTGGTATTAGTACTGATGCTGGTACTAGTGCTAGTACTGGTATTAGTACTGATGCTGGTACTAGTGCTAGTACTGGTATTAGTACTGGAACTAGTGCTAGTACTGGTATTAGTACTGATGCTGGTACTAGTGCTAGTACTGGTATTAGTACTGGTGCTGGTACTAGTGCTAGTACTGGTATTAGTACTGATGCTGGTACTAGTGCTAGTACTGGTATTAGTACTGGTGCTGGAACTAGTGCTGGTACTGGTATTAGTACTGATGCTGGTACTAGTGCTAGTACTGGTATTAGTACTGGTGCTGGAACTAGTGCTGGTACTGGTATTAGTACTGATGCTGGTACTAGTGCTAGTACTGGTATTAGTACTGGTGCTGGTACTAGTGCTGGTACTGGTATTAGTACTGATGCTGGTACTAGTGCTAGTACTGGTATTAGTACTGGTGCTGGTACTAGTGCTGGTACTGGTATTAGTACTGATGCTGGTACTAGTGCTAGTACTGGTATTAGTACTGGTGCTGGAACTAGTGCTAGTACTGGTATTAGTACTGATGCTGGTACTAGTGCTAGTACTGGTATTAGTACTGATGCTGGTACTGGTGCTAGTGCTGGTATTAGTACTGATGCTGGTACTAGTGCTAGTGCTGGTACTAGTACTGATGCTGGTACTGGTGCTAGTGCTGGTGCTGGTACTAGTATTAGTACTGATGCTGGTACTAGTGCTAGTACTGGTATTAGTACTGATGCTGGTACTAGTGCTGGTACTAGTATTAGTACTGATGCTGGTACTAGTGCTGGTACTGGTATTAGTACTGATGCTGGTACTAGTGCTAGTACTGGTATTAGTACTGGTGCTGGAACTAGTGCTAGTACTGGTATTAGTACTGATGCTGGTACTAGTGCTAGTACTGGTATTAGTACTGGTGCTGGAACTAGTGCTAGTACTGGTATTAGTACTGATGCTGGTACTGGTGCTAGTGCTGGTATTAGTACTGATGCTGGTACTAGTGCTAGTGCTGGTACTAGTACTGATGCTGGTACTGGTGCTAGTGCTGGTGCTGGTACTAGTATTAGTACTGATGCTGGTACTAGTGCTAGTACTGGTATTAGTACTGATGCTGGTACTAGTGCTGGTACTAGTATTAGTACTGATGCTGGTACTAGTGCTGGTACTAGTATTAGTACTGATGCTGGTACTAGTGCTGGTACTGGTATTAGTACTGATGCTGGTACTGGTGCTAGTGCTGGTGCTGGTACTAGTATTAGTACTGATGCTGGTACTAGTGCTAGTACTGGTATTAGTACTGATGCTGGTACTAGTGCTGGTACTAGTATTAGTACTGATGCTGGTACTAGTATTAGTACTGATGCTGGTACTAGTGCTGGTACTGGTATTAGTACTGATGCTGGTACTAGTGCTGGTACTGGTATTAGTACTGATGCTGGTACTAGTGCTAGTACTGGTATTAGTACTGGTTCTGGAACTAGTGCTAGTACTGGTATTAGTACTGATGCTGGTACTAGTGCTAGTACTGGTATTAGTACTGATGCTGGTACTAGTGCTAGTACTGGTATTAGTACTGATGCTGGTACTAGTGCTAGTACTGGTATTAGTACTGATAATGGAACTAGTGCTAGTACTGGTATTAGTACTGATGCTGGAACTAGTGCTAGTACTGGTATTAGTACTGATGCTGGTACTAGTGCTAGTACTGGTATTAGTACTGATGCTGGTACTAGTGCTAGTACTGGTATTAGTACTGATGCTGGTACTAGTGCTAGTACTGGTATTAGTACTGATGCTGGTACTAGTGCTAGTACTGGTATTAGTACTGGTGCTGGAACTAGTGCTAGTACTGGTATTAGTACTGGTGCTGGAACTAGTGCTAGTACTGGTATTAGTACTGATGCTGGTACTAGTGCTAGTACTGGTATTAGTACTGATGCTGGTACTAGTGCTAGTACTGGTATTAGTACTGATGCTGGTACTAGTGCTAGTACTGGTACTAGTACTGATGCTGGTACTGGTGCTAGTGCTGGTGCTGGTACTAGTATTAGTACTGATGCTGGTACTAGTGCTTGTACTGGTATTAGTACTGATGCTGGTACTAGTGCTAGTACTGGTATTAGTACTGATGCTGGTACTAGTGCTAGTACTGGTATTAGTACTGATGCTGGTACTAGTGCTAGTACTGGTATTAGTACTGGTGCTGGAACTAGTGCTAGTACTGGTATTAGTACTGATGCTGGTACTAGTGCTAGTACTGGTATTAGTACTGGTGCTGGTACTAGTGCTAGTACTGGTATTAGTACTGATGCTGGTACTAGTGCTAGTACTGGTATTAGTACTGGTGCTGGAACTAGTGCTGGTACTGGTATTAGTACTGATGCTGGTACTAGTGCTAGTACTGGTATTAGTACTGGTGCTGGAACTAGTGCTGGTACTGGTATTAGTACTGATGCTGGTACTAGTGCTAGTACTGGTATTAGTACTGGTGCTGGTACTAGTGCTGGTACTGGTATTAGTACTGATGCTGGTACTAGTGCTAGTACTGGTATTAGTACTGGTGCTGGTACTAGTGCTGGTACTGGTATTAGTACTGATGCTGGTACTAGTGCTAGTACTGGTATTAGTACTGGTGCTGGAACTAGTGCTAGTACTGGTATTAGTACTGATGCTGGTACTAGTGCTAGTACTGGTATTAGTACTGATGCTGGTACTGGTGCTAGTGCTGGTATTAGTACTGATGCTGGTACTAGTGCTAGTGCTGGTACTAGTACTGATGCTGGTACTGGTGCTAGTGCTGGTGCTGGTACTAGTATTAGTACTGATGCTGGTACTAGTGCTAGTACTGGTATTAGTACTGATGCTGGTACTAGTGCTAGTACTGGTATTAGTACTGGTGCTGGTACTAGTGCTGGTACTGGTATTAGTACTGATGCTGGTACTAGTGCTAGTACTGGTATTAGTACTGGTGCTGGAACTAGTGATAGTACTGGTATTAGTACTGATGCTGGTACTAGTGCTAGTACTGGTATTAGTACTGGTGCTGGAACTAGTGCTAGTACTGGTATTAGTACTGATGCTGGTACTAGTGCTAGTACTGGTATTAGTACTGGTGCTGGAACTAGTGCTAGTACTGGTATTAGTACTGATGCTGGTACTAGTGCTAGTACTGGTATTAGTACTGGTGCTGGAACTAGTGCTAGTACTGGTATTAGTACTGATGCTGGTACTAGTGCTAGTACTGGTATTAGTACTGGTGCTGGAACTAGTGCTAGTACTGGTATTAGTACTGATGCTGGTACTAGTGCTAGTACTGGTATTAGTACTGATGCTGGTACTAGTGCTGGTACTGGTATTAGTACTGATGCTGGTACTAGTGCTAGTACTGGTACTAGTACTGATGCTGGTGCTAGTGCTGGTGCTGGTACTAGTATTAGTACTGATGCTGGTACTAGTGCTAGTACTGGTATTAGTACTGATGCTGGTACTAGTGCTGGTACTAGTATTAGTACTGATGCTGGTACTAGTGCTTGTACTGGTATTAGTACTGATGCTGGTACTAGTGCTAGTACTGGTATTAGTACTGATGCTGGTACTAGTGCTAGTACTGGTATTAGTACTGATGCTGGTACTAGTGCTAGTACTGGTATTAGTACTGGTGCTGGAACTAGTGCTAGTACTGGTATTAGTACTGATGCTGGTACTAGTGCTAGTACTGGTATTAGTACTGGTGCTGGTACTAGTGCTAGTACTGGTATTAGTACTGATGCTGGTACTAGTGCTAGTACTGGTATTAGTACTGGTGCTGGAACTAGTGCTGGTACTGGTATTAGTACTGATGCTGGTACTAGTGCTAGTACTGGTATTAGTACTGGTGCTGGAACTAGTGCTGGTACTGGTATTAGTACTGATGCTGGTACTAGTGCTAGTACTGGTATTAGTACTGGTGCTGGTACTAGTGCTGGTACTGGTATTAGTACTGATGCTGGTACTAGTGCTAGTACTGGTGCTGGTACTAGTGCTGGTACTGGTATTAGTACTGATGCTGGTACTAGTGCTAGTACTGGTATTAGTACTGATGCTGGTACTAGTGCTAGTACTGGTATTGGTACTGATGCTGGTACTAGTGCTGGTGCTAGTACTGATATTAGTACTGATGCTGGTACTAGTGCTAGTGCTGGTACTAGTATTAGTACTGATGCTGGTACTAGTGCTAGTGCTGGTAATAGTATTAGTACTGATGCTGGTACTAGTGCTGGTGCTAGTACTGGTATTAGTACTGATGCTGGTACTAGTGCTAGTACTGGTATTGGTACTGATGCTGGTACTAGTGCTAGTGCTGGTATTAGTACTGGTGCTGGTACTAGTGCTAGTACTGGTATTAGTACTGGTGCTGGTACTAGTGCTAGTATTAGTACTGGTGCTGGTACTAGTGCTAGTAGTAGTATTAGTACTAGTGCTGGTACTGGTGCTGGTACTAGTAAATGGTAAAAGATAAACTTGTATAGCACCTTTCAGTGTCAGTACACTAAAGAGTATCATTCATCCATTCACACACGGATAGTGATGAGCTAGTGAAGCCACCGGTCCCTCCAGCCACCACCAGAAGTCAAGGTGGGTTAAGTGTCTTGCCCAAGGACACAACAGCCGGTATCGAACCTGCAACCTTCCGATTACTGGACAGTCCGCATTACCTCCTGAGCTGCTGCTGCCCGAGTACTGGTAGTAGTACTGGTAGTAGTATTGGTAGAAGCAGGCAGGTACTTCTGGCTCCTGCTTGTGTGACGCTTTCCCTCCAGGTCAGTGATGCTGGTAGCCGAGTCCTTCATCAGCACCAGCCTGCAGGCCCAGGTGGTTCCAAGTGCTTCAGTTCTGAGCACAATTCCTTTGATGGCTTTGAACAGTTGTCCAAAGTGTGGCTCGCGGGCCCTTTGCAGCCCAGTAGGTTTGTGTCCAGGCGCTTTTAAAATTCTGTCCAGGTTTGTACTAACGTGAGGTCTGACATGATCTTTTCAGAATGGAAAATTCCAAGTTTAATACAAAATATTAATCATTTATTTCATTCAATTCAATTCAAATACACTTTATTAATCCCAGAGGGAAGTTAGAGTTTAGCTTCCTGGTAAACAGGACCAGAAACCATCTCAGACATGATCACGTGCACCCAGAACCAGTTCTTGTGCTCAGGAACTCAAGTCCTACAGAAGCATGCACCAACATGTTTCCTCGGTCTGTGTGCAGAGGCCATCGCTAGTTTGTGTTTGTAGAGCTGCAGCTGGACCTTTGAACGGGTCGGCCTCATCATTCTCAGCTGTGTGGTTTAAATTTTAAACGACACCTTCAGGTGAAAAGCTCTTTTACTTTTGGGTTCAGCTTTAACAACGTGTCAGAAGTCCCAGAAGAAAGAGTTCCAGATGTTTCCATTTCTGCCACTAGATGGTGCAACCTCCTCCGCAAGCGGCTCTGATATTTCTTACAGGTGTCCCATCACCTGTGACCTCTGTGAAGTCGAGCTGGCCAACGCTCAGGAGCTGGAGGATCACCTGGACTGCAAAAGCCACTGGGACACTCTGGAGCACATCCAGCAAAATAACGATTATGACGACCTGGCCATAGCATTCCTGCAGGTAAGACGTGTCCTTCACAGACAGGCTCAGCAGCACCGGCTTGTTTAAGCCCAAGATGTTCCCATCAGCTTGACAGAAGCCATTTTTATGCCAACAGGAAGTCATGCTGTACAAGAGCCATCACTGTAGCCGGGCAGTAGAAGAAAATGCACTCCCAGGTACCGACGTGCGACGGGTCAAAGCGCTCTCGGGTTCCTTTCTGACTCCTGGTTGTTTGCAGCTCTGCAGCAAAACCACCACATGACGAAGGTGGAGATGTTTCGTTGTGCAGCTTGTAAAGTCTACGTGTCGACATCTGCAGCTGAGGTGAAGACTCACATCTCGTCTCAGGACCACCTCTCCAACACTCAGGTAATCCCACATCCGCGCCGAGACGCACGTGTCCGTGCCGACTTTAACGAGGGTTGTTGTTGTTGCTGAAGGACTTTGCAGCGCAGCAGAGGAGAGCGTGCCTTAGCAAGGCAGAGACCATGCTCCAGGAGCTGCAACCACAGCTCCAACACTTCCTCAAGGTATTTGGACTTAGACCCACAGCCCATCTGGTGCTTTTGTCATTTAGATTATTTAGTCAGTTAACTTTGATCTTTTCCATTGAATAAGTTAGGTCTCCAGCCACAGCTCCACTGCTAGAGTAGGAATGTAAAGGACTCCGATAAGCCGTAGCTCTGTTTCGGATCGTTCACTCACGAGATGACGTCTCCTTTCAGGGTGGGACTCCTTTTAAGTGAAGCGATTGAATCTTCAGAGTCCTCTTCAGCTGAAGAACGAGCATCAGCTCTGCTGTCATCATCTAATAAAGTCTGATCCACACCTTCACTACCTCTCTGGGGTTTCTCATCGTTTGGTAAAATCAGACGAGTCGAGCTTCCTTCGGTTTTATTCAGAACAACACAAATGTTTTACACGGATCTGTGTGATATAGCACATTTCAAATTAAATTATTCAAAACAGCATATTTAAACATTAAATATAGGTGACATAAAGGGGAGGATCAGCACAGGGTGTGTAAGACTCAACATTTTTAAAACCGTCCTGACCCATCTGGAGATTTCATATTAGAAACGATGCAATTACGTAAAGGCTAAAAACATTTTCTATGCATTAAAAAGTTGCAGACGTTTTTTGTGCACCAGGTCCTGGGTTTGGTCACTCCGGCCTGACGGGACAGGCTGCTGCTGCTGCGACTGAAATAAAAACTGTAATCTATGTGAGAATTGGTTCAGAGGAGGGCGGTGCTTCCCAACGCGGACTAAAACAGGCTGAAATCTGAGGTAAAGGTTGTTTCCATTACAAACGGGATCGACACTACTGCGTAAAACAAGAAGATGTGGAATTTCATTCCACAGAAAGGACCGTGTAGAAACAGAAAGGTAACAGTTTCCTAATTAGGAGGATTTTTTTACTGTCCGAACGTTCCAATTCGCCCGATGCCCAAAACCGGGCTGAGCCGTCCTCCTGGCCAGTATTTCCCTCAAAACAAAAACAAGTGATCAAACATCCAATGTACATACACATATAAGCTAGTGAAGTCTAAAAACGGTCCCAGCGGGCCTCACGAGGCCACGTGTGGGGCTGCTGAACAGCTGTCTTGATCAGTCTTGACGCTCGGGGGGGCTGTAGGCAGCGATGAGACCTCTAGCATGCCGAGTCCAGTGTGAGGGACACCAGTGTTCATAATGTGTCTCTGTAAATGTTTGATCCAATCCTCCTGGACTGACAGGGGGCCCTGGAAGACGAGGTCACAGAACCTGTGCAGAAAGAGTTTTTGTCCTGGAGCAAACTTAACAAACATCCATGTGATGCTGTCCGACGTTCAGTAGGAGCAAAGCAGTGAAACGTACCTGCAGGTGAGCCTATACATCTCCTCTGGAGATTGGGGTAAGGGCAGGGTCTTCTTCTTTAAGCACGACCTGGAGCGTTGCCTAACTGCTCTGCACTGAACAGCTGACAAACAGGATTCAAGAGGAGAGTCATTTCAGATTACAGCCAACCTGAGTCAGGGTTCTGCAGCAACCTCTGGAAACATGAGCTTGTTTTATCCTCGAGACAGTGAAGACCCGTGTAACTGCGGTGCATTACCGACAGACTCAGAGGCATCAGTCACATCATCTGGCGTGGGTTTGTGGAAAATCGTACCTGTTGAGGATAGCTCTTTGGCCTAAGCTACGAGGAACGGATTACTTCTGATTGAGCTAGCAGCTCATGAAAATGGGGCCAGCAACAAAACATCTTCAAACTTTTCCATTTTAAGACTCAGGGCAAGTTGTGCGGGCTGTGCAGTGGTGCAGCGGTTAGAGCTGTTGCCTTGTAGCAAGAAGGTCCTGGGTTTGATTCCCGGCCTGGGCTCTTTCTGCATGGAGTTTGCATGTTCTCCCTGTGCATGCGTGGGTTGTCTCCGGGTGCTCCGGCTTCCTCCCACAGTCCAAAAACATGACTGTTAGGTTGATTGGTCTGTCTACATTGTCCTTAGGGGTGTGTGTGTGTGCGTGTGCGTGTGTGTGTGTGAGTGTGTGTGCATGATTGTTTGTCCTGTGTGTCTCTGTGTTGCCCTGCGATGGACTGGCTCTGTCCAGGGTGTACCCCGCCTGATTGCCCGTTGACCGCTGGAGATAGGCTTTTATCCAAAGCGACGTACAGTTTATAACCTATAGGGCATGTTGTGATCTGTGGGGGAAACCGGAGTACCCGGAGGAAACCCACGCATGCATGGGGAGAACACGCAACTCCACGCAGAAAGGCCGCAGCCGAGTTTCGAACCTGCAACCTTCATGCTGCGAGGCAACAGTGCTAACCACTGCGCCACCATGCAGCCCATAATCTAATTATAGTGTGTTGCTGTTTTAAGTCCAGCAACGGTCAGTTTTTAGCTACAGTTTGACCGTTCAACATCTGGTCAAAAAGGAGACACGAGACTGCACGTGTTCCCTTTAAATTGGCCTGCCTTCATCCCATCAGCTGGAGCTCAGAGCCTGCAGCTCTAAACACAAATAACAACATGTCAACAATAACATTCTCTCCTCAAGGACCAATCTTTCAGGTCTCCATGCATCTGAATAAGGAACACTCCAGCTCGGATCAGTTGCTAAATCAAGAATGATTTCCTAAATTAAATATGAACTTCTACAACTTTTAAGCTAGATAATCATTAAATAAATGTTTGTTTATTGCTACTTATAATAATTATAATGAAATGTTTCATTAATCTGTGCTTAATGACTGAAGTTTGAAATGAATGTTGTGTTGTTTACATGGCAAGGTCATCATTTGCGCTCACACAAGCTCAAGTAAGGTTAAGTTGAACTCGTGACACATAAATGGTCTTTTACCCCAGCCAGAGCCTCCGTATCAAAGAAGGCGTGTTTCTGAGGTTGTCTTGGTAACCATTCCTCAACTTGTCAGCCTTTGGTTGGCTACGCAAATCATAACATGAGATCCTTAAAACTGGATCACTCTGGGTGATTCATCAGTTCTTGAGAAAGCTTCAGACCGGCCACCTGAAGCAAAACCTCTCTAACCCATCAAAGCTTTTGACACGTCGCCAAAATCTTTTTGCACCTGCGAAGCTGATGCAGCAACAGTTCCTGCAGAACAAGCTGATATTGTTTAGACTCCTTCAGAGTCCCAGACGCCGTCTGTCATGACCCGAGACATCTCTGGACTGAAGCGTCGGTGCCACGGTATTCTACAGCCCTTCGGTGCCAGAGGTCAGCTGACCTCTCTGACCTTCGGATCCACCAAGAGGGTCTCCGAGAACGAGTGAAGTAGACACACAGATTGCGTCTGATGTGTTTTGATAACAACCATCTTCATAGCTTAACGCAAACCTAATTCTTTTACATCCAGAACTCGGCTCTCCTAGATACGGAAGTTCTGATAACACCGCATTCACACCTAGGTTCATACATCACATTTAGTTCCATCCATCACAGTAAATGTTAGTTAACTTGTCATGTTAACCATTTACATGAACATACGAGATGATTCTCAGCACATACGTCTGTATGCACAGCTGCCATCAGTCACCAGATCTCATACATCTGTCCATCAGAGAGATGTCAGAGACGAAGTCTCAGTGCGTTCAAAATCGATCTAAAGTTATAAACCAGGAGCCTTCGTCCTAGTTTACATGTACGGTAGAAAACCAGCCTCTCAAAGTTAGCGCCAACAAACGCTGGTGGGAGCGAAGCAGATGGAGTTAAAACAGGATATGCACCATGGTTGAAGCAGCACAGCTGATGTGGTGCAGACCGGACTGGACCTAATATCATCGCCACAAGGTGTTATCAGAAGACCGCTTCCTCGATCTCGTCACTTCTGGAAGTCACCGCCGGGATCAGCTCGCCGGAGCCGTTTACACGCAGAAGAAGTCTGGTTCCTACCACGCCATCTGGGTTTTTCAGCACGATTAGAGCCAGTTCGCCTTGAACCAGACTAACGCGTTTACATGGATGTAAGAAAAACCTGATTTAGGGCAACAATGTGCTTTTCTGGTGCACATGTAAACGCACCAACATGTAAGTAGAGCCATTCTGAATGACTTGAAATGACCTGAGATGTTGTAGTCATGACTTTTTTTGATTATTCATTTCAGCCCTAAAATAGACCTTTTAGGACTCACTTATTAATAAAATACTAACATTAAAGATTTAATGTTTTGGTCAACAGCCTTAATCTGCCTGTGAACGCCACATTTCTACATGTATGTTTTACTTCTACAGAGTCCTATGGAAGTGTTTAGTGTAAATACTTAAAGCTACAACAGCAACTTCAACCCTTTTTCATGCCTCTTACCAACGTTCTAACATAGTACAGCAATAAATGTATTGTGGAGGTTAAAGGGGCAGAAAAATGGCGTTAATTTAAATGTAGAAACTAGAGCTGGGCGATATGGCCAAAAAATAAAATAACCGATTTTATTTGCTTGAATTCGATTTCCGATTTTGTCCGATTTTTCTCAGACAGGTTCCAGCAGTCAAGAGCGTCTCTCAGTCCTTTGGCGATAAGTTCACTGGTGTGGTCCTCAGGAAAGTATGACGTTTGGAGGGAAAAACTATGTAAATCCCACGCATTGTTAATGAAATGCACCGTTAAACTCATACACGGCTGCATAGTTCAACTGCTCCACATGTCGCTTGTTGCCAAAAAAAGGACAGCTCCTCCAGTTCTCTGCCAACTTTTTTGCGTGTGTTTCTGTACAGCTGCGGCAAGACTACTTCACTGAAATACTTTCAGCTGGGTAGCTCATACCTGGGATCCAATGTTTTCATCAAATTTATAAACTCCGTCTTCTCCATGGTATATATGGGTACCATGTCTTTTGCTGTATACAAAGCAACCGTGTCGGTGATTGTAGTCCACCGGGCCCCTTTCTTGTCATATGCGGTCCCCTGTGCGAACGATTTGGCTACAGTTAGCAATTTTTTAGCCGCTGGTTCTTGGTCACTGCGGCTTTGTTCGTCTCGGAGAGACTGGCATTTTTCGTGTTGGGCTTGATGCCTCTGTTTTAGGTGTTGAAACAAGTTAGTGGTGCTGCTGCTGCCTTTGATTGCAACGGGTTTTAGACAAAGGTTGCAGCATGGGGTCTCTTGTTTTATGTCTGTTGCAGCAAACCCATACCAGTTCCAAACAACAGATGATTTTATCCCCTTCTTCGGAACAAACTTCCCACTCTCACCGCCATCACCGGTCGCCATGTGGTCGCTTGCTGTCTGTTGTTTTGTGTGTTATCACTCGCTCCTGGGTGGGGAACCTGATGCTACGGGACCTCCGGAGGGCCAAAAAGGCGCCATTACAAAAACTCGATTTACCTACTTTATGAATCGCCCGCAACAAAAAATTCGAATTAATTCATTTTATCGATTTTTCGCCCAGCCCTAGTAGAAACTGATCTTTGAGCCTCTATTTGCATAGAACATTTAGTCGGAGCTTAAAATGTCCCTAAAAATAGACAAAACAGGCGTAATAAGACCTGCTTTCCCCCACTCTACCAGTGTGTGTGTGTGTGTGTTGACTCAAGCCTACAGTAGAAGGGTTTGGAGGAGAGAAAAGTGAAAACTAGGAACCACAGCCTTTATAATATAAATAAATAAAATAGTACGTTATAAACGTACAGGCATATAACGGACAGGTCTACTGAGAAAGACTGTAAAAATGAACCCTTTAGGGTCAAAGTTGCAATATTGTGACCAGCATCATTGCTGGGTTTAACGAGTCACAGAGGCTAATCTAATGGCTCATGGGTCGCCGCCACAGTTACGATGGTGTTGGGATGAAAAGGGAGAAATGGGAGTTGGGGGTGGGGCTTGTTTCGTTCTGCTTGTTCTGGGTTGAAAGCTAAAGGAGCTGAGAAGAGAAGTCTCTGTAACGAGCCGTTTTGTTGGATTAATGTAATAAATTATCTTCCAGAATAAAACAGCTGGTGTGTTCCTGTTGACATTTTCCCATCTGGAGACTCCCGACCCAGGACAGCAGACAAGCGGAGCACACAGAAGACAAATATTATTTATTAAAGTGGAAAAAGTTGCAATGCTGACGGGTCTGTTCACTGTTGACTAGGGATGGGTACCTTTGACATTTGAATGGATTCGGTACTAATTCCCGGTACCCAGGAATCGATACCGGTACTTAACGGTGCCAATTTTAGATACTTGTGAGTGTTTAATATTTTAATTCTCTTTTATAATTAAATATATATTTTCTCAATATATAACCATATTTGATAAATATCATGATAAATAACATACAACTGTTTGTATTTTAACATAGGCTGTGGATCTATCTGGCATTTATTTGTACTCTGGATTTTTCAAGTATATCCTGAAACCTTCGTGGTGAGTAGTGTTTTTCTCTCTTGCAACAAGGCTGTAGCTAGCTGAGGCTAACAGCTAGCTGGTGCTAACTAGGGTTGGGAATAAAAACTGGTTCTTGTTGAAAACCGGTTCCTATCGTTTCAATTCCTAGGAATCGTTCGGCACTTTTGCAAACGTGCCCCTTATCAATTCCAGTCTGCGCGAATGACATCACCGTGCACGTTGCGTAGCTTACAGAAGCAGGAAACATGGCGTCTACGCGGCACAAATGCTCGAAAGTTTGGTTATACTTTACACGAAAGCATAACAACAGGGTAACTTGCAATAATTGCAGAGTGGATTTTTCATCTAGGTAAAAAGCCTTTGGGCACAAAATACGCGATAACGTAGAGTTAATGACGTGTTTAGACCAGGGCTGGACTGGGACAAAAATTCAGCCCGGGCATTTTGATTGGAGACCGGCCCATCACGTTTTTTTTGGAAAAGACATTAAGCCTTACGCTGTTTCTGACACACACCAACGTACACTTTCTTATTGGTAGTATTTATGTATCAATCTAATAAACGTAAACCTACACCATCCTTCCTATCCTGGTATTCTAAAAAGTAGGGTTGGGGGTAACTGATTATTTTTAAAATGATTATTCTGACGATTATTTTATCGAATAGTCGACTATTCTAATGACTATTTAGATGATTAATCTAGTGATTACTTTTCTATTGCACAATTAATAAAAACCAAAAAATTCTCAAATAAATTCCTCCAAAAAATTGATAAGTTGTTACTGTAAGAGAATAAACACTACAGGCCTTCCATTTTGTATAACACTGCTTTTATTGTGTTGCGGTTGTTTATGTTCTGGTGACGTGTAGAACTTGGGAGTGCAGGCTGCTGCCTGAGAGGTGGTTGGAGACGGAGTGTCTCCATGCTGCTTTGTTTTGTTCACTTATGTGCGTGAGGCAAGTGGTGTTACGACCCTTCCTGGGGAGTCACGTGTTTCTCCTATTTTAACTGTAAATGCTTCTAGCCGTTATATTTATAACAAGAAACAGATATTCGGTCAGAATATTTTCACGTTTATTCAAATATCATTGTGGAACACACCCAGCATCATAATAAATGAAGTAATATTTATGCCAATTTAAGCCTTTATGGGTGACCAGGACTCTGTGATCAATTTTTGGCAAGGAAAATTATCATTTGTTGCCATTTTTTAGGTGTTTATGAATGTGGAAGACACCCAGCATCCTGTGATGGCACTAATAACATCAAGAGATAATAAATAAGGTAATATTTAGGTCAATTTAACCCTTTACACGTGACCAGGACACTGTAATCAATTTTTGGCAAGGGAAATGATCATTTGTTGCCATTTTTGAAGTGTTTATTAATGTGAAAGACACCCAGCGTCCTGTGATGGCACTAATAACATCAAGAGATAATAAATAAAGTAATATTTAGGTAAATGTAACCCTTTACACGTGACCAGGACACTGTAATCAATTTTTGGCAAGGAAAATTATCATTTGTTGCCATTTTTTAGGTGTTTATGAATGTGGAAGACACCCAGCATCCTGTGATGGCACTAATAACATCAAGAGATAATAAATAAGGTAATATTTAGGTCAATTTAACCCTTTACACGTGACCAGGACACTGTAATCAATTTTTGGCAAGGGAAATGATCATTTGTTGCCATTTTTGAAGTGTTTATTAATGTGAAAGACACCCAGCGTCCTGTGATGGCACTAATAACATCAAGAGATAATAAATAAAGTAATATTTAGGTAAATGTAACCCTTTACACGTGACCAGGACACTGTAATCAATTTTTGGCAATTAAGGGAAATTATCTTCTTTTTTTTCTTTTTTTTTTTTTTGTTGCCATTTTTGGGGTGTTTTTGATGATACAGTAGGCAGTATGAGTACAGTAACATCAACAGATAATACATAAAACCCTTATTTGGTCAATTTTAGCCTCCATGAAAATCTTAGCGATTCAATCACTTTTTGGCAAGTAAAATGCCATTTTATTAGTCTACAATTAAATCATCAATAAAGAATTTAAAGATATTTTGAGGCATTTCTTATAGGTAAACAGGAGGGTGTAGTCTCTATTTGGCAAGTGACAATCTTAATTTTATGTGCTGAAGTGCTTTTATCTTGTTACTTTTAAATAGAGCAACGTAATGTATAGATAGTAACCTACACAGTGTCAGTAAAGTCAATGCTTGATCATTTTAAATACTTTTTTTCAAGTAAAAATGTGCCCCAAACTAGTTAACTGTGGCTCCATGTCAAGTGGACTAAAGAAAGGAAGGGGGAAAAATTAAATCGCTGGAAATATTGCAAAAAGGATTAATATATCCTCATTGTGAACGTTTAAGACAAATAGCAACACTTAAAACAACTTCCGAACTGGAAAAACTAATGTGGCAAGGTGCAAAAAACGAGTGCCCGGGCGGGATTCGACCCCCAGACTCTTGGGTGAGAGTCATACGCTCTAACCAGTCAGCCAAAGTAACATCTCCTTAGTCCAGTAGCCAGGGCGCATGATCAATCGGGACATTGTGACAGGACGCTCACGCAGCCACATCTTCCTCCCTCTTTCCACAAGCACGTCCTCGTGCTCCCGCGCAGGGTGCCACAAACACTGCCACACTAATATCCGCGATAAACATCTGTTTAAGTACCGGAAGAGGTTATCTTTGCTTTCTGAATGTCCATATTGCTAGATATGCTGAGTTTTAGGGCAAAATCCTGGGGAATTTTGTCTAGAAATGCAATTACCTAACCGTGCGCGATCCCGCGGTGGCTAATCATTTTTTTGGCAGCGAGTCAATTTATGGCACAACACCGGCTCGGGTTTCTCCTCCTCCTCCCTCTTTTCTTCTCCAACCTGTCGCTGGGCTGAGGCTCCATCACTTCCTAAATTGATTTTACTTGAACCTTCACTACCAAACAACTGTGAGATTTTAACACATGTGCCAGCATCAGCCTGAAGGGCCAGTTTCTTTTTTAGTCGAATTTTCTCCGCTCCTGCTTTCCGTTTTTTGTTCTCCATTTTGTAAAGCTCGTCTGTCTGTTTACTGAGATTCACAAACAACTGGCGGGTGCATCAGACCTCTGGCTATTGGTCCAGCCCAGAGTGTATTATTACCAATTGGCCAATCCACCAACTTTTACGAGGCGTCGCGTGGGGCGGCGCGGACAAGTTGTCCACAACAACTAGAGGCCAGGAAAAAAAAAAAAAAAAAAAAAAACAGACACCGGCCCATAAAAGATGAAAGGGTCGGCCCAGCGGGCAGTTGCCCGCTATGCCCTATGGTCAGTCCAGCGCTGGTTTAGACCCGCTCCGAGCTAGGAATTTCAACGCAGCACACCATGGTTTCCATCCATGGCCACAGAAACACCAACAGCTCGGCTGGTGGCCTGTTTGTTGCTTGGCTGACGTGTTAAAGGCTACACCCTTACAGTAGAAAGGCCTACTAGTGTTGGTGACAATACTTACTGGTTCCCTCTTGTAAGGCGATCCTTTTTCTTTTTGCATATGCCCGGAGGTGATTGGAGAGGGCAACTCCGCTGTGGAAAGTTGCATTGCAATGAATGCACATCTTCCTGTTGAATTCACCCTTTTCTGCAAAAAAAGACACAAAATGTAATAACATTTTCCTAAGTACATTACATTGATCTTAGGACATGACTAAGATCTGAGCATAGCTGAAGCCAGTCTACATATCTCTGAACTGCAAAAAACGTTCAGGAGTTCGATCATTCATCTATCGTTGATGAGTGTCTGTGCAAAAACTTAAATCTGCAATGACAGTTTTTGTGCAATCTTCTCAAATTTTACCACAGCAATTACTTTAATCACTATACAATCATAGACATATCGTTGCACGAAGCCAATTAACTGATGTTTGATATAAAAATGTTGTGTTGACGTAATTTCAAAACCTGCATTGAAAATGAGCTCGTCTAAAACAACAAAATTAAAAAATTGCTAAATTATCATTAAAGTTGATGTGATGTATTGAAATATTTAATAATGAATTGGCAGTGCATAAAAATAAAGTCAACGCTAAATATTCCAAACCTTACCTGTGTGATTCAAGAGAATCAAATAAGTGTAAGAACATAGCTTCTGTTAGAAAATAACGTCGACAACATCAGGGAATTCCTTTGAAGGAATTCTGCCTTTTACCTTTCTGAGGACGTTGCTTACCAGATGGAGAGTTTGGCAGTGATCCTGAACTGTGCTCACTATTTGAAGAAACCGTTGACTCATTTCTTGAGATCGGAGTTGATCCTTTTAGTCTGGCGTCTTCTTGACACTTCCTTTTTTTCAGAATCCCTATTAAGGCAGTTGTGCCTGAGAGAGAATTTTTAACACCCATCTTCTCCAACTGCCCATTTTCAGACTTAATGTCAGATAAAGTAAATGTGGGCATCAGTGGTTTGGTGTCCGTGAGAACACTTGGGATGGAATGACTTTTGGGGAATCTGGTCTGAGAAGAGGTGAAGCGATTAGTGATGGGCAGCTTTGGTGAAGCACCATAATGAAAATGGTTTCGTCTTCTTCCCAGAATCTGAAGGGCTTGTTGAAATTCCTTTTTGTCTCGCATCAACTCATGCAGTAAAATGATTGGGGATTTGCTCTTTGAAGCAAAATTTTTCCCAAGCTTTTTCAGATGACCTCTTATATGGTTAGACTGCCCCGTCCTGTTATCGAACGCATCCCCACAGAGCGGACAAGTGTGGAGGTCAGTCACAGTCTCCGAATCTGACTCTAGCTGTAGTGCTGGAGGAAAGAACACACACACACACACACACACACACACACACACACACACACACACACACACACACACACACACACACACACACACACACACACACACACACACACACACACACACACACACACAAATTACAGTGTATACTTGTCATGAATACCACCTCACAGCCATGTTATTAATACTTGTTCTGTGCTTGGTTCAGTTACAAAAATGAGGATAAAGGTCTTAAAATCAGCTAAACTGTTAAAAATAACAACACCAAATATTGAACAGCTTTATATCCAATCCCCATTGTAGAATGTTGGGATACCTCTTACAGGTGGAGCACCTTCCTGGTGACCATAGTCAAGTCTGGCTAGATCTACCAGTAATGATTCGGCCATCAAGAACCAAAGAACATCTCATTAAAGAGCAAGTCACCCCCCTACCATAGTCTTACTGCACCCACACTGCCTGTTTGAAAAATGCACCACAAGGAGGTGTTTCCTGGTGTACCAGGAGGGCAGAATTGCGACAGTGAGTGACGAGGACTGCTACGCTCACTCCATGCTCAGTGAAACTGCATTGGAGAACGGAACCACTAATAAGCACGCACAAACATTCAATCTGCTTAGATGGAGATGCTAACGCACACACACACACACACACACACACACACACACACACACACACACACACACACACACACACACACACACCTCACAAGTAGAGCTAACACACACAAATACACATGACTCAGACGAAATAAAGGCAGCACTTCCTAGAAACTGATAGGGACACTAGCTCCTTTGCCTCAAAGCAGTCACCAGAGGGAGGCTTTATGAAGAGATGAGTGACCCTGAGCCATATCGTTTTGAACATATGGCTCATGAGTTTCCCAAGGCTACTGGTACCAAGCTGTAAAACAGGTGTGCTTGAAGAATGGACATTGTAAACAGGCATGACAGGGGGCACTGAGGACCAGGGTTGAGAACCCTGACCTAGCCAATAGCAATGGCTGTTTCAAATTACATGAAGTGTGCCGTTTCAACCTGAATAGGGTGCCTTTTAACTTTTAAATAAGATGTACTAAAATGCAAAAACAATTACACATCTACTACAGCACTATTAGACACTCAACTATAACATTTGTTGGCAAAAAAGGTTGATTTAGGGTTGACTTGCTTGTTAAGTCATACTCTTGGTTGAAGACCTACTATTTATTGGGTAACTAGTTTTTAATCATGCATTTATTCTAATAGTTTGTAAAGCAAATTCTGTCACCCAGGACTGGGTTGCTGGATGTTTAATTTGCTTATTTTAAAGAGAGGGTTGATTAAGTTGATCTACATTCCAACCACCACCTCTTAGTAACGACTTATTTATATCCATCCATCCATACATCCATTTTCTACCGCTTACCCAGAGTTGGGTCATGGGGGCAGCAGTGCAAGTCAAGAGGCCCAGACTTCCCTCTCCGCAGCTACTTGGACCAGCTCTTCTGGGAGAATCCCAAGGCGTTCCCTGGCTAGGTGAGAGACATAGTCCCTCCACCGTGTCCTGGGTCTACCTTTAGGCCTCCTCCCAGTTGGACGTGCCTGGAAAACCTCACCAGGGAGGCGTCCAGGAGGCATCCTGACCAGATGCTCGAGCCACCTCAGCTGGCTCCTCTCGATGTGGAGGAGCAGCGGGTCTACTCCGAGCCGATGGATGACCGAGCTTCTCACCCTATCTCTAAGGGAGAGCCCAGCCACTCAATTCAATTCAGTTTATTTATAAAGCGCCAAACCACAACAAGAGTCGTCTCAAGGACCTTCACACAGTAAACATTTCAATACAGGTCAGTTCATTAAGCCAATCAGTAAAAAGTTTCCTTCATAAGGAACCCAGCAGGTTGCATCGAGTCACTGACTAGTGTCAGACTCTTTACAGCAATCCTCATACTAAGCAAGCAAGCAGCGACAGTGGAGAGGAAAACTCCCTTTTAACAGGAAGAAACCTCCAGAGGATCCTGGCTCAGTATAAGCAGCCATCCTCCACGACTCACTGGGGATCGAGAAGACAGAGCGCGCGCACCTAAACTGGCCTCTCTAAATGTGAAGGAGCAGCAGACCTACTTCAAGCCCCTCCCAGATGACCTCTAAGGGAGAGCCTAGACACCCTGCGGAGAAAACTCATTTTGGCTGATTGTATCTGGGATCTCATTCATTCAGCCACTACCCAAAGCTCATGACCATAAGTGAGGGTTGAAACGTAGATCCACCAGTAAATCAAGAGCTTTGCCTTCCGGCTTAGCTCTCTTTTCACCATGACAGATCGGTACAATGCTCGCATCTAGGGCTGAAACGATTCCTCGAGTACCTCGAATAATTCGAGAACAAAAAAGCCTCGAATCAAATTCTCTGCCTCGAGGCTTCGTTTAACTCATGTTTAATTCATGGCTTTGCAATCGCCCGGGGTCATGTTTCACTCGGACTGAAATAAGTGACGCACATACACACTGCACTGAATGCACATGCAAATGTAACTTAACTTTCTCTTAAGCCATGGCGGACGACGTGGACCCCGGTGGAGTGCGAAAAAGACAGAAAATGTCAAAGGTGTGGGACCATTTTTCACGTCGTAAGGTGTTTACACATGTAAAAGTCACTTCTGCAAGCGGACTCGGAGGTCCGCTATATATTCTGCGGACTCTGTGCCACTTTTTCATCTGTAACACTCAGTTTTAGTTCACATTGTGCTTCTGGTAGCAACACGTCTGACCTAAAATGTGCTAAAAATAGCAGTTTTTACACAACACGTCGGACTTTCTACTGTGTTGTTATTGATGTCTGTTGTCCCCGGGATTGCTGCAGGAGGACACAGGTATTTATGAGGAAAACAAAGTAAATAAATGTGATCAGTATAATTTGACATAACCACGGCAAACATGCTTTCTCGACAATCCTTGTTAAGTGTGTGAGAAAAAAGTTGTAGAAATTAAAACGGACGTGTGTTAGTAGGGAAACAGCTGGCGAGCCATGTTTGCGCATGCGCCGTGAGCGGTTCCGGTGCTGTTTGGGCCGCAGCCGCTCGCAGCGCTACTTCTCGCACGAGGGTGAAATCGGCTCAGGTTGTGTACTTATTTTTTGCACAGGCGTTTGTTTACTGTGAAGTAAAGTTGAAGTGCTGAAGTTCTGAAAACTAATTTTGAATTTAAACTTGAAGAATAACTGGCAAATGCTTTCTTATTTTAAGAGGTCTTTCATATTTTATAACATGCTATGTGATATAATGGTTTACAAACACAAAAGGGTCATTTATTAGAGTACTCGATTAATCGATAAAAGATTCAATAGAGTACTCGGTTAATCGATAAAAGATTCGATAGAGTACTCGATTACAAAAACATTCGATAGCTGCAGCCCTACTCGCATCACTGCAGATGCAGCACCAATCCACTTTATCAATCTCATGCTCCAGCTTTCCCTCATTCCTGAACAAGACCCCAATACTTAAACTCCTTTAATTAAAACAGGACCTCATTCCTGACCTGGAGAAGGCATTCTACCCTTTTCCGATTCAAGACCATAGTCTCGGATTTAGAGGAGCTGATTCTCATCTCAGCTGCTTCACACTCAGCTGCGAACCGCTCCAGTGAAAGCTGGAGATCACCGTTTGATGAAGCCAACAGGTCCACTACGTCCGCAAAAAGCAGAGACCTGATCCTTAGGCAACCAAAACGGATCCCTTCGACACCTAGCTTGCATCTAAAAATTCTGTCCATAAAAGTTATGAACAGAATTGGTGTTAAAGGGCAGCCTTGGCGGAGTCCAACTCCCACTGGGAGCGAGCCTGACTTATTGCTTCTTACGGCAATGCGGACACCAGTCATACAGGAATCTAACAGCCCGTATCAAAGGGCTTGGTACCCCATACTCCTGGATTTCCCCCCACAGCACCACCACGGGACACGATCGAAAGCCTTCTCCAAAACCACAAAGAACAAGTAGACTGGTTGTGTGAACTACCACACACCCTCCAGGTCAGCCTAAGTGTACAGAACTGGCCCAGTGTTAAATGGTAAATGGCATTTGTATAGCGCTTTCCTAGGATTCTACAACCCTCAAGGCGCTTCACAACAGAATCAGTCACTCACCTAGTCACACACACATGCACACAGTAGTGATGATGAGCTACAATGTAGCCACAGCTGCCCTGGGGTGCACCGAAAGAGGTGAGGCCTGCCCAACACTGGCACCACCAGTCCCTTTGACTACCACCAGCAAGCAAGGCGGGTTAAGTGTCTTGCCCAAGGACACAACAGCAAAAGTCTCTGGTCGCAGCCCGAATCGAACCTACAACCTTCCGATTACTGGACAACCCGCTCTACCTCCTGAGCGACTGCTGTCCACGGCCAGGACAAACATGACATGGTTCCTGATGAAACAGAGGTTTGACAATCCAATGGACCCTCTTCTTCAGAAAGCCTGAATAGACCTTACCAGGGAGGCTGGAGTGTGACCTCCCTGTTGTTGGAACACACCCTGCGGCCCACTTTTTAAATAGAGGGACCACCACCCCAGTCTGCTAATCTAGTGGAACTGCCTCCGATGTCCACGAGATACTGCAGAGCTGCGTCAACCAACACAGGTCATTTTAAACACACACACACACACACACACACACACACACACACACACACACACACACACACACACACACACACACACACACACACATATATATATATATATTATTATATAGACACACACACACATTTCAGTACCTTTTCTCAATCGGCGAATAGCTGAAAACCTGCGTCGAATACGTGGCCGTCTATCCTGGTAAGCCACTTGCTCTGGAGGCACAACATGGCGTGCATTGTAGCTTAGTCCAACTCTATGAAGATGTCCTCGCACATGGTTGGACAGTCCAACACCAGACTCAAAAATGGCAGGACAGTAAGGACAGTTCTTTCCGTCTGTGTCCAACTCTAACAAATCATTTGTGGGAGACTCCCCCAGTGGTATCTGGTGGGACTCAAAGTTTTCTTGAAAAACTTCAGTTTCTATGGATTCTTCTTTGATTTCAGGGTCATTCAGTTCTTGCTCTTCAGTCTTTATTTTCTCAAACAGTTTTTTAGATGCCTGTAAAGCACCTCTCATTGACATCCTTCTACTATAGGTGTATATTATGTGTTTTCTTTCTTTTTTAATGCCACTGTCAAAATGGTTGCTACTGGATTCTGAATCATTACCAGGGAACATTTCTGTTTCATCACAATCTTCTGCATCTTCTTGATTTAATGTATTGGGACTTGGTAAAGATCTTGGTAAATCGAAGCACGAGTCTTGCTCCGAAGTGTTACGATACGGGGTAGACATTTTCCTTTTAGATGGTGACTTTTTGACTGATGACGTATCTATGTTTAACTTAGGACCATTTAGTGACCCATCTGAATATTCAACTTTGACTGACATCGTTTCTGTTGAGCCATCACAACTGTTTTTGGAGTTCTGGGCGATGCAGTTATTGCTTTCATTCTTCTGTTCAGCAGTCTTCTTTCCATTGCTTTGACGAGATAGAAGAACATTGATGGATTTGTCAAGTTTTGATTCTTTTACTTGAGACTTGGGACTTCTCTTAACTTTGCTATTTTCAAACAAGTCTGACAGGCTCCCAGACTCATCTACTAAACAATCTCTCTGAGAAGAGGTTTGATTTTGTATTGATATTTTAGATGTAAGCCCTGAGTCCTCAACGGGAGACGATTCCCTAGATGGTGGTGCATCTTTCTCACTGTGCTGTACCTCTATATATTCATTCAAAGTCATCTGATGACGCAGCATTAGGTGATTCTGAAAAACTTGTTCACCAAAAGCTTTATATGAACACATGGCACAGGGGAATATTTCAGAGTCTTTACTTTGGATCTGCTTTTTAACCGTAATAACAGTGTGCTGCAATATATCATGTTTTTTAAGATCACCAGCACTCTGAGACCTAAAGCTGCATTTGTCACAACTAAATATTCTTTTGTCCTTTTCGTGGGTTTTTGCATGTTGAACAAAAGTGTTGGGAGAGCTTGTTCCAAAGGAGCACTGAGGGCAGAACAGCATTTTGTTTTTCTCTTCTTTCTTCCTATCTTTAACTTCTTTGACTTCTTCTCTGAGTCGTATTCTTTTCTTTTCATGGATGGACATGTGATCAATTAGTGCACTGCTTTCTTTGAAAGACTGGCCACATTCTCTGCACATAAAAGGCTTTGGTGAAAAACTAGGAGGGTCCTCATGAGACTTCATATGAAAAAGCAAGCGATGCTCTTTCTTGAACGTGAGCTTACATTTTGAGCAGGGGTAACGAAATGACCTCTTCTCTGAATGAGAATTTACAGCAAGCCCTCCTTTCACCGATGAAAGTTTGTTATTTATACTATTCTTGTGGGAATTTCCTTTAGGTGACTTGTAAAAAATGTCATTCATGGCATTTATAGAACCATTTGGAAACTTAGAATTGTTTTCTGTGGGTGACGGCTGTGGTGTGGAAAGCTTGTGTGAATTTCTGACTTTTATTGGAGAGGAGTCCTCTTGGCCTTCAACATCAGATGAGTCGTCAGATGACTTTGGACTTGGATTTGGGTACAGGTCTTCCGAAGGGTCCACCATAACAACCATGTCCATTTTTCGCTTTCTTCTCCTTTGGAGGCTGGCAGTAGAGACCTCCTCTTTAGGCTCTTCACCGGGGGAATCATGATTTTCCCAAAGAAACCGCATAAACTCTTTGTGAGGGTCCCAGTCGAGGTCATTGGCACTACTGAAATTATCCAATGAGTTCTCAGGCGATTCTATATCAAACCCCCAAATTCCAGCATTGTCTATTTCTTGTACAGTCTTTAGTGGGGTAATGGACTTTTCCTCCTCTTTCTCAGAGGAGATGTTGCTGAATTCATGGTCTTGTGTAGCCTGATGCAGAGAGGGCCCATTCTCCAAGCCAACCGGAGATAAGATGTCTGTGCTTGACAGGACATCGAGAACAATGCTTTGATTTAAAGAGGACTTGCCAAAGGAAGAGGTGCAAGAGGCAGAGTCTTGTGCCATTACATGTCTCTGCACCTGTGAGTGGGTACTGACTTCTGAATCAGCATCTTTTTCATCTTCATCAACACCTGTCACACATGACATTTCCATAGCAGTGACCTGAAAAGAAAAATATACATCTCTTAGACAAAGACAACTAAGAAACAACCAACTATGCTTAATATTCAGCAGACAAATTTTACAGGAGTCATACCCTGTTAATAACATGGATGTCTATATAAGTCTTTTTAGGCCATGAAAATAATATTAGAAAAATATATTAAAAAGTGTTGTTCTGACCCTTTTTGTAAGTGACATGTTTTCTTGCAAGAGCACAAGCGATATTTAGGCAGAAAAGACGTTTGCTCAACTTTCATTTTGGAACTATTTTTCAACCATGATGTGATGCGTCATTTGGAATCCTAGTATGTCCAAGGAAGATCCCGTCTTTCTGCTTGGCTAGAAGGGCTCTACTATGATAGACTTTGATTTAGCAGCACACCGGCATCTTACCTTGCTAAGTGCAGACTGTTCTCCTGCCACCGCCACCAACAGAAAGCTGTTTTGGGGAGTTTCGTAAAGAAAGACGGGACCTTCCTTGGACATACTACGATTCCAAATGACATGTCACATCATGGTTAAAAAATTAAGTTCCAAGATGAAAGCTGAACAGATGCTTTTTCTGGTCGTGAATTAAATGTATTTCGGCGCGTCTCATTTGGATGTTTAAAAATTAAAATTTGAGCGTCTTATAACTGTAAAAAAAATATAATGGAGAAAAAAAATAATACCTCCAAATAACAATCTGATAACCCGGCCTAGATTCGAACCCAGGTCCTCCGCGTGTAAGTCAGGTGTCTTACTAGTTGAGCTATGACATATTTTCACTGAAAATGGTGTTAAAACCTAGCAAACATTTGGATGCTTGATGACAACTGAAACAACGTGAGTTCGATAAAAACTTGATATTTTAAAATACAAACTATAATTACTATGTTTTCAAAGACAACTAGTTCCAAAATGAAAGTTGAAATAACGCCTTTTCCGACAGGGATAAATGGATCGTGCGGCCTCTGGCAATGAGCAAATGCTGCCTCAGAGTGCATCCAGTCGTAGCAGCGATTCATTCCATTTCCTACTAAAACTCATAAAAGATACCCAGTAGTCTTTGTTCAGAAGAAAAACATGTTGCCACAATGGTGGTCACTGCAGGAAAACAAAGACAAGGCTTCTTTGAAACACTATAACCATGTTTAATACTAGCCGTTTATACGTCACTATCAAACTACAAATACAAAATTAAACAAAGAGAAAAATCTAAATTTCTCTTCCAGCAAACATATTCTCTGTGCTCTCAAGGCAAGATGGCGGCGCACACGGTTGCAGCGGCTTACGAATCTCCGGCTCAGTACTCCTTTTTTTTGTTTAGTTTGCTTAGTTTGTATGTATTTCTTATTTTTTTCTGCACCATCGGCTCTACTTTCAAAGTTTGCTACACCCGCCAGAGCCTCATAGACATTGGTGACCAGCATCAAACATCTGTTTCACTGGACTTCCTTCGCACGCACAACATCCCAGATCATGTAGCGAGACCACCGGGCTCCCGTGGATTGTTATCGGGACTAAGCGGAGGCGCAGACGGAGGGAAAGGAAGCAAAAGCGGGGCCGCAGGTCCGGCATCATGCTGAGGCTAAAAAACAAACCACACAAGCCACCTCTGCCGAGCCTCTATCTCTCCAACGCTAGATCCCTTGTACAAAAAACGGACGACCTGGAATTACAACTAGTGGGAAATCGCTATGTTCGTGACTGCTGTGCCTTGATTATTACTGAAACCTGGCTTCACCCGGGAATACCCGATGCTAGCGTTCAGCTAGCAGGCCGCACTCTGCTCCGCTGGGACAGGACAAAGGACTCCGGTAAGAGCGGGGGGGAGGGCTCTGTATTTACGTGCATGAAAGCTGGTGTAACAACGGGACAATTATGAACAGTCACTGCTCCCAGAACCTCGAGTGCATGTCGGTGAGATGCCGGCCTTTTTTTCTACAGAGAGAGCTAACAGTAGTGATCATCACGGCTGTGTACATCCCACCCGATGCCAACGTAAACACGGCGCTCTCTATCCTGCTGGACACCATTAACGAACAGCAGCGGGCCCACCCAGATGGGGTTGACATTATTGCAGGTGATTTTAACAAGGCCAACATAAAGACTGTACTCCCAAAGTTCTATCAGCATGTCAAATGTCCCACCAGAGGAGAAAACACTCTAGATCATGTTTACTCCAACATCAAGCATGCATATAGAGCCATACCCCTCCCCCACCTCGGTCAGTCCGAGTCCGACCTGCTCTCCCCAGCCTACACCTCCCTCAGGCGCAGTGCCAGGCCCACCACAAGGACTGTTACAACCTGGCCGGAAAATGCTCTCCACAAATTACAAGACTGCTTCACAGAGACAGACTGGGACATATTTGAACACCAGGACCTAGAAACTTTCACAGGATCAGTACCGGACTACATCAAGTTCTGTACTGCAAATGTGACAGTGGACAAAAGCATTCGGGTTTTTCCAAATCAAAAACCCTGGATGACCAGCGAGGTCTGCTCACTCCTCAAAGCCTGTGATGCCGCCTTTAGGTCAGGTGACAGAGCTCTGTACAGGGCTGCTCGAGCTGACCTGACAAGGGGGATTAAAAAAGCCAAGCCAGACCACAAAAGGAATATCGAGTCCCACCTGTCCAGCAACAACACATGAGAGGTGTAGCAGGGAATGCAAGACATCACCAACCACAGAAGCAGCACTGTGAAAACAGAAAACCTGAGTGTGCAGCTGGCAGAGGAAATAAACAGCTTCTTTGCCCGCTTTGAAACACCACAGCAGCAACACTCATCTGCTTCAGCCCTGCTACCATCCTCATCCTCACCTGGTTCTTACACCGCTCCACTCACTGTAACGGAGCACGATGTCAGACGTGTGCTCCTAGCAGTGAACCCCAGGAAGGCGGCCGGTCCACACGGAGTACCTGGCAAAGTACTAAGAGCATGTATACACCAGCTCACCCTCATCTTCACCAGACTCTTCAACCTCTCACTGGATCAGGCAGCCATCCTGTCCTGTCTAAAATCAGCCACAATCATCCCAGTACCGAAGAAGTCTCCCATCTCCAGCATAAATGATTACCGCCCTGTGGCCCTCACACCGGTAATCATGAAATGCTTTGAGAGACTACTCCTTCAGCACATTAAGGATCACCTCCCCCCAGAATTTGACCCCCACCAGTTTGCATACCGTGCAAACAGATCCACAGAAGACGCCATCGCCACAGCCCTCCATGCTGTGCTGAGTCACCTAGAGCAGCGGCAGAGCTACGTCCGAATGCACTTTGTGGACTACAGCTCAGCCTTTAATACAATCATCCCAGACATCCTCATCAACAAACTGGTCACTCTTGGCCTCCCTCCTCTCACATGTGCCTGGATAAAGGATTTCCTCACAAACCGGCCCCAGACTGTGAGACTCGGCCCTCATCTCTCCTCCACTCGCACACTGAGTACCGGCTCCCCACAGGGCTGTGTAATGAGCCCCCTCCTGTATTCTCTGTACACCCACGACTGCAGTCCGACCCACAATAACACTCTCATCATCAAGTTTGCTGATGACACCACAGTAGTCAAACTCATTTCGAAGGGAGACGAGGCAGAGTACAGAGAGGAAGTCCTGAAGTTGGCAGCATGGTGTTCAGAAAACAACCTGTCCCTGAACACCAAGAAAACCAAAGAGCTTATTGTCGACTTCAGGAGACACAGCACCGACTTGGCCCCCCTCTACATCAACGGGGAGTGTGTGGAGAGGGTCCACACCTTCCAGTTCCTTGGTGTCCTCATCTCTGCTGACATCTCCTGGGCGGAAAACATCTCAGCGGTCATCAAGAAGGCCCAACAGCAGCTGCACTTCCTGAGAGTCCTCGGGAAGTACCTCCGACAGAACTTTCAAAACATTCCAGTGGAGGTGGGGGACATTGAGTCCAAATGGGCCCTGTTACGTGCCTCCATTGTTGAGGCAGCCGACCAGAGATGTGGCCACAGGGTCATCTGTGCCTAGTGTGGCAGCAACCCCTGAAACCGCTGGAGGACACAGGGGCTTAGGGATACTTTCAAGCGTAAGAAAGAGTCCTACGAGGTCTTTTTGACCTGTTCCCAGAGTGCTGTATCAAGGCACCTCAGTGGGAAGTCTGTGGGAAGGAAAAAGTGTGGCAGAAAACGCTGCACAACGAGAGGAGGTGACCGGACCCTGAGGAAGATTGTGGAGAAGGACCAATTCCAGACCTTGGGGGACCTGCAGAAGCAGTGGACTGAGTCTGGAGTAGAAACATCCAGAGCCACTGTGTACAGGCGTGTGCAGGAAATGGGCTACAGGTGCCGCATTCCCCAGGTCAAGCCACTTTTGAACCAGAAACAGCGGCAGAAGCGCCTGACCTGGGCTACAGAGAAGCAGCACTGGACTGTTACTCAGTGGTCCAAAGTACTTTTTTCGGGTGAAAGCAAATTTTTCATGTCATTCGGAAATCAAGGTGCCAGAGTCTGGAGGAGGACTGGGCAGAGGGAAATGCCAACATGCCTGAAGTCCAGTGTCAAGTACCCACAGTCAGTGATGGTCTGGGTGCCATGTCAGCTGCTGGTGTTGGTCCACTGTGTTTTATCAAGGGCAGGGTCAATGCAGCTAGCTATCAGGAGATTTTGGAGCACTTCATGCTTCCATCTGCTGAAAAGCTTTATGGATATGAAGATTTCATTTTTCAGCACAACCTGGCACCTGCTCACAGTGCCAACACCACTGGTGAATGGTTTACTGACCATGGTATTACTGTGCTCAACTGGCCTGCCAACTCTCCTGACCTGAACCCCGTAGAGACTCTGTGGGATATTGTGAAGAGGAAGTTGAGAGACGCCAGACCCAACACTCTGGATGAGCTTAAGGCCGCTATCGAAGCATCCTGGACCTGCATAACACCTCAGCAGTGCCACAGGCTGATTGCCTCCATGCCACGCCACACTGAAGCAGTCATTTCTGCAAAAGTATTCCTGACCAAGTATTGAGTGCATAACTGAACATAATTA